GACGAGGTGCAGGAGGTCGTGCACTTCCCGGCCGCCGCGCACCCGCCCGGCGCCGCGCTGGAGGTGAGGGCCCCGCCGCGGGCCGCCACGACTCCTTCGGGAGGCGACAAAAAAAACCACCACCACCCTTTCATCCCGTTGTCGGTTCATTTTTAGCCCGCGGGTGGGCCGATTAATGAAGGGGAGATGCTCGCCGAAGCGACGGCGTGAAAGATGATTTGTCGTGTGCTCTGACTTCTTGCAGTGCACCTACATCGAGATTGAGCAAGTGGAAAAGACCCACGCCGTGGTCCTGAGCCGCCCCGCCTGGCTCTGGGGGGCGGAGATGGGGGCCAACGAACACGGCGTGTGCATCGGGAACGAAGCCGTGTGGGGCAGGGAGGAGATCTGCGACGACGAAGCTCTCCTCGGCATGGACCTCGTCAGGTTTGCACAGGCTCTTTTGGTAAATGGTACCGAATTCGGAATTTAATTTAAAAACATTTGGGTTGAGTTACATGGGGAAATAGGTGCTTTCACTTTCAGAAGACATGATGTGTCTCTTCTGCTGTTCTAGACATGGTTAAAAATAAGTGTTTCTTGGCACAGGCGTTAGATCTCTGCCAGGAGCTGGGAGCCCGTGGGAGGTACCAGGCGCTAGAACAGAATCTGCCAAGGAAATCACCAAATGTTTTTCTCTCTACAAAGTTTATACTAAACTGAGACAAGAGCCTTAGCTAGAGCACACCTGGACTTCAGGAACTAGTGTTTCTAGGGTCTGTTCTCATTTCCTGCTTCCCCCATCTTTTACACAAATATTTTTAAGTTTCAGTCTTAGCTACACATCTCCATGTAAATGACGACAGCTTCTTTTGCCTGCTGTCCTGGGTGCCTGTGGAACTCTCATTAACCTACAGCAGTCAGTCAGTTCTTCTTGGTACTGTTTCCCCCCAGCCCAATACCCACACGGGTCTTGAAGGCATTTCCTAGGAGCCCTCTCCCTGCCTTTCTGTATTTCCATTTGGTTGTTTTTCCCCATGTCAAGGACATACAGGACCTGCTTCAAACAAGCCCTTTAAATGACTTACTCCTTTCTCTTACCAGATCATACAAGCACCAGGTACATATAGAAATAGCATTCCAATCCAATTTGAATACTCAGGCTGAATAGTTTTATGTAAAGTCTATAGTTCCAAAAATAACGTGTTCCTTTCGTTTTAGGCTTGGACTTGAGAGAGCGGACACAGCTGAAAAGGCTCTTACCATCATAGTTGATTTGCTAGAAAAATACGGACAAGGAGGAAACTGTATGGAGAGCCACATGGCATTTACATACCATAACAGTTTTCTGATAGCCGACAGAAAGGAAGCATGGGTGCTGGAGACATCAGGAAAATACTGGGCAGCAGAAAAAGTAGAAGGTAGGGATGACGCTCTTTGCTTTAAACATTTCAAATGCAATGACAATTAGCAGTTCTCCACTCTTCCTTTACCATGTCATTAAGGCATCAGACTAGCCTCCAGATATGTACGTGCACCTGTAAACATCAGGAGTTGCTTCCTAGGGCATCAGTGTGGAGAGGCTAGCAGTTTCACAGAGGAGCTGAGTCACAGGGGGCCTTTTCAGAGTCAGAGATGACCACTTCTGCACTTGGAAAACAGAGGACAGCAAGGAGGTCAGCATGAGAATGACAGCAGTATGTATGGTCTTCAGGATGGTGGCAATCGATGACAATTTCAGTTGGTGACAGGGTAATACCGACAGGATTGATGCAGTGGGCCCTGAAGTGGCTGATTCCTCCAGTGGACTTAGAAGGACAAACTATGTCTTTGGAGGTCTAAGAGGAAGAATGTAAAGATGGGAATAATCAGGACAGAACCTGAAACATGATGTTGGCAACAGAAGTAAATGAGTCGGAGCTGAATGGCAGTGGAATTTCAATCAGAAGTATACGTATAGCCAGAGAGGGCCAAAAATAAACCACAGGACTTGCAGACCTTGTAGGAAACTCTTCAGTGCACAATTTGCTTCAGTAAGATAATTGTAAACAAAACACCAAGAAAAAGCACTCGATGTATTAAAATGATTCTTTCCTCATCTTACAAACAGGAGGTGTACGAAATATTTCCAACCAGCTCTCTATCACAACCAAGATTGACAGAGAACACCCAGAATTGAAGGAATACGCCAAAAGCAAGGGCTGGTGGGATGGGAAAAAGGAATTTGATTTCGCTGCCACATATTCTTATGTAAATACTGCCCGAATGACCACATCCAGAGGCCGATATTGTGAAGGCTATAAACTTCTCAACAAACACAAAGGTATCATTTTTGATATTTTTTCTTTTTAAGCTATGCAAAGCATTTAGTGAGCTACATTAAATCATAAATGATTAGACATCTGATGTGGGCAATCATTCACATGATTTGGTGAACCAGAACTTACTAGAATAACTTTTTGCCTAAAGGAAAAACACTGAACTTGAAGTCTTCTACCCATTTTTGCCAATTTGTTGATGAGGAAAAAATTAAAACAAGGGTCAAATATCGAACCCACACAGATGCAGTAACACCGAGAGGTCACATTATGACCATATCGCTAAATACTCCGTAAGACCTAGCTCTGAAACATTTTGATAGGCTATATATTATTACTGTACCTCTAAGGGAAAAAAAAACAGAGACTAAAACAGACTCCTAGTGGCTTCCAGCCACAAACAGAACCCTACAAACAACTTCAGTCTGGTACCGTTCATATAGGCCTAAGACAACAGCACAGCATTTAGATACATATCTTGCATTTATTTTTTGAGATTGGTTTTTAAATCTTTGTAGTTTCACTACAACTGCTACTCTGACCTTGTGTAGTCTAATAAAACACACTGAGAGCAGAATAAAATAATTTTCTGTACTCTAAGCAGGTGCTCCTAATCACTAACTTATTCACTTATTTTTCAGACCTCTATAGAAAGAAGGTATTACTTTTCTTTTAACTGCATCCACCTGGCAGGTTTTTGCTGTGTCTGTATTCACTTGCTCATTTGAAGTGATTATTGTGAACCAAAATTACATTGCACCCCTGTGTTTTTTTATTTATTTGGCTGAGCTCTGCCAGACCAGGTTTAGCATTTAGTTAATGCGTCAGAATGAATTACCTTTTGCTATCCTGCTCTAGTGATCACGTAAATCCTGCATTCATTTTGGGAATTGCAGGTTCTGAATACTGAAAGCATTTTCATAATACCTGTATTTACTTGTATTATAACAATGCTGAGATTCCATCAGTGTTTTCATTCTAAATCCCCATTTTCAGGCATTTACCTGAGCCATTTGAAAAATCACACTAGGTGTTCAGGTTATCAGTCTCATATGGTTTCAGTTTGTTTAGATTTATTTTAAATAGGTGCCCTAACTAAAAGTTATTTGGTTTATAGCATCAGTAAAATCACTGGTTTCTTCACCTACCCTTCCCAGCTTTTTCACACAGTGGCATTACAGTTTTTTTCCAGGCTGCCTACCATGTGAAGACCATTTTTAGATAAACATTATTTATATTACAAAAAACAGGGAATGTATTTCAGGAACACAAAATAATAAAGAAGTCTAGTGGAAAATATGCAATACCTTCTTTCCTGCTGGACAAGTTGCCAGCTTGCAGTTGACAAACTGACTGTTGCTTCTTTTAATTTCTTTGATTCATCTAGCTTGCTGATTTCTTGAATTCTCTGACTTTCCCAGGCAACTGTGGGAATACTTAAAGAGTGTTTCCTTGCTGAAATGTGGTGCTGCATGCCTGTCTACAGGAAATTTGAATCATGTATAAAAAAAATAATATTGGAGACATCTGAATTAGCAGCAGAGTGATTATTTTGAGAGGAAACAGCAAGGGAGTTTAAAAAAAATCTTTATGCAGCTAGAACTTCACTGAGGGAAACACTAAAAGATTAAGTGATAGATGATACCTTCAAGTAAAAAAAAAAAAAAAAACCAGTGAATGAAATAATGTTTTTCTGTCATGAGCATACGCTCAACTGGTACACCAAATTTTAAAAGAAAACTACTGCAAGTGCTGCCATATTAGAATATTGGATTGCCTAGTGATAGCATGCCAGTATTTAAGCTTCAGTGTACACTACACGAACAGCAATATCATTAGAACGCTAGATGCAGAGGCATACGTGGAAAGGGTTTTGTTTGACCTGAGAATTATTATTTTCAGAGACATTTGGCACTATACCTCACATAGGTAGTTGATTAAGGCTTGTTTACAAATGGATGTACTATTGCAGTTTCTGTTGATTCTGAGTACAGAACATGTTGTTACTCCAGTGCATCCTTTCAATTGTCAACTTGAAGCCTAAGTGCTTTGGAAGGCCAGATGATTAAAATAAAATAAAAAAAAAAAAAAAAAGAAGAAAAAGAGAAGTGACAGTCTTGGTGTTTCTCATTTTCAAAGGTACACACAAAATCCATGCACAGTTGTTATTTTTACATTTTCAAAGCAATCTAGTGGTATTAACTGTGTACAAATACCAATAACTATTGTACTGATTTATCTTAAATTCCACACAGTGCTCAGAGAGTTCAGCCTGTAATTCAAGCTACTAATTTTCATCTGAAAAGTTACTGTGTGAATGACCATTTGCTAGCCATATGTATTTTACCTTTCTGGGAGACATTGTGTGTTGTCGTCCTCCCCCTTTTCTAAGTCATAAATGTTACAGATCATTATCACCTACTCTTTGAAATAAATACTTTGGGGAAAACAATAATATTTTTAAGTGTATTACGTATTAAGGTATGCTGTTAGGATGATTTTTTTTTTCTGCCAGCATGGACAAACTAAAATTGACATTGCTTATTAAAGGAAAAAGCAGCCAGTTGTAGAGAACATGCCATTTAGTTGGTATTGTAAGTAGCGCTGTGTGTAAATAATTGTATTGTATCTTAAATAGGATCTATCACTTCTGAAATAATGATGGAAATTCTTCGTGACAAAGAGAGTGGCATTAATATGGAAGGTGGATTTATGACAACTGGAAGCATGGTGTCTGTACTGCCTCAGCAGCCTAATCTGCCCTGTATTCACTTCTTTACCGGAACTCCAGATCCTGCGAGGTGATGTAGCAGCAAGTAATTAGGATAAAAAGTTGCAAATATCTAAAAGTGTTTCAATTTGTCTAATTATATTCCTTTTTGCTTTGCTTTTTTTTTTTTCCTCCTGAAAAGGCACAATCAAAAAGTAGGAGGAACATAATGTACATTATATGCATTAATGCTATCTACCAACCTACTTAGTGAAACACTGCTGTGACACTGACTTAAAAAATCTCCTAACTGATGTTTAAGACTTCTTTCCTAAAAGAAGGAATTAGAAGAATGGGAAAAAATACAGCAATCTACTGAGTCAACAGTTTTAACAAAACTGTATCAGTAAAGGATGTCTGTTCTATTTTCTCTTTCTAGGTCTGTATTCAAGCCTTTCATTTTTGTGCCCGGTATTACTCAGTTATTAAAAACTTGCTCCCCTACATTTGGTCATAATGATCCAGTTAAGAAGCAACCACGTTTTCAGAATAAGCCAGATCGAAGACATGAGCTCTATAAAAAACATGAAAGTGCTGCTGTAGTTATGGAAACTACCGAGGTACGTTGATTAAATTAGATTTCAATGCAAGCAGGTGGTTTATATAAGCTCCTTGCTCACAATTTGTTAATGTGATACCATTTAATGCCCTTTGATGGATTGTGAAGAACATTGTAGCGCACCAGAAGCCCATCGTCTTGGCATCTGGCAGGCATATGTTTCAAACACTAAAAATTGCAACTAGCACTTTGCTGTACCCCAAGGCCTAGCCCCAGACAACTATCTGTACTGCTTGTCTCACAGAGCAGCAGACCACACATACTCCCGCACTAGTCAGGTAACGGGGAAATGCTTGAGCAGCCACAGGCAAGCATACAGCTCCTGATAAGAGAGCACTTAAAACTCTTCAGGACCCTGGTCTCAGGCAGTGAGGGGGGCTTGCCTTTTATCATTGCTTGGTATGGACAGGAAAGGAAACAAGATCACAAAGATAGCTGGTCACAAAGGTGAAGCAGAGAGGTAGTTGCTTACTTTTAACAGTAGCATCTCTCCTATTTACAGATACATGTTCTAGAAAATAAGACATATGCCCACTTAAGTTTTGGTAGCACAAATACCTAGAGGAGCTTGAATTTTGTTTCTTTTCAGTCCATCAGATGAGGATGCAGGGAGATGAAGTGAGTGCGAGATATTGGGAAAGATATCTAAGAAAACCTGTCACGGTGCTAACTTCTACCAACACAAGCTTGTGCCCTAGAAGCTATTAAGAGGTTAAAATAAGGATAGTAGAGCAGAATTTTTTTAGAGTGAACACTACATACTCTGTATAGTTTTCAATGAAATACAGAAATTTCTTTTTGCAGGGCAAAGGTAAAGAGATGCTGAAGGAGATACAGGAGTTGGAGAAACAGAAGATAAGTGAAATGGAATCAATCCTGCAAAACGGATGTCTTGACATGAATGAAGTGGTTAACCTTTTTTCACAGTGTGTAGAAGAAGAACTCAAAATATATAGCTAAAACTACTATTCGAATGTGATAAAATTCAGTTTCGTGATTAACTTTTCTAATGAAGCGACTATATAGATTACGTCTTATTTACCAGTTAGTACGGGCAGTTTTAAAAAGGTGGATTCATATTCAGGCCAAACAGCTTTTGGTTGTATTAAGCAATGCTGAAAAGGCTCTTAAGAGCTCGGCAGTGGCTTTGTCTGTATGTGGCATAAAGCTGTCAGCAGAGTTTGATTTTGTCAACAAACAGATGCAATTAGAATATAATAGGTTGACTAAATTGTGGAACAACCCCATCCCTGGATGAAGAACACAAACTCAGATTTGGAGAACTCACTTCTAGTGTACACACATGTAGCTTTTACAGTCAATATAATCGTAGCAGAATTTCACATTGCCTGAATTAAAATGGCCGTGCTGAAGGACTTTCTAAAACTAGAAGCTATTACTTGCACTGAATAAAAAGGAAAGTGATGTGCAAGTCAAGTAAGATTGATATCAGTTGTTTGATAAAACCATTCTAAGATACGTTTCATATATGGACCTTCTACTCCTTCAATGTAAAATGAGGGTAAGAGTTCAAGGTATATTAAAACCAAATCACAGTTACAATTTTACCATGATTTGTTGTGAAATCTGATTACATGGAATTCAACAATGCAAGCATCCTGCAAGTTACCACACAATTTTCACCTCCTCGTCTATTTTCCCTACCCTGATACCAAAAAATAAATTAACTTATTTACATACAGTATGATTATTGTCAAATTAATTCTGCAATACACTTTATAACATCATGTAGGAGTTTTTTAATGTTCTTGAATTGTTACTTTTTAAAATCAGGCAACTAGAAAGGAAGAGGTTGGGGTACACAAGTATATACATGTACCGAGCAGGACACTTAAAAGTCCTTTTAAAATTTTTTCACTTCATATAAAGCCTTTTAACCATGACTTGTCTTGCCAAAGTTACTAGACTATGGAGTTGATTTAATTAAGCTTTTTGCCCTGCCAGGAACTCTTCCTCCCTGATGCTGTTTAAATGTAATGATCAATATGTGACACTACTTTTATTATATGTGGCAAGGGACAAACTGAGCAAACAACAAAGAAAGAAGATTCTGACTTCACTACATGATCGAGCAGGATAAAAAGGTATTACTGGAAGGAAAAAAAAACCAAACAGCACTTCTTGCAAACCTTCAGAAGAGAACATGTAACATGAAATGGAGCATTATAGCAGCAGCAGCAGTATGTGACATGACACAGCACCCCCACAGATTTTTCTATATTTAGTTTCTAGAATCGCCTCAGATGCTAAAGATGGAGCTACACACGTGCAGTTTTCTCATTTTGTAAACTGTTCTATCCCCCCACTGGTAAAAAAACCTAAGTACAGGCAAACAAAAGAAATCCATATACAATGAAGTTTGCAGACTGAGTAAGAAAATTACGAGCTTGGCAGAATTTGTTCTTCCTGACCCTACAATGAAAGTAGAAGTTAATTTGGGATACTGCGTTCACATCCACAGCAAGAAACTAACGGGTCAGGAAAGGTTCTTGAACGTTCTAGTTCTAGTGATCCTATGTGTACCAAGTGGCACTAGCAAGTAAGACTGAGTAGCAGGTAAGACTGAAAATAAGCTTGAGTTGATTGTGAACCTTTTGTACCTGTGTTGCCAACAAAATTTCTTAGAAGTTGAATAGTACAGTGGATGTTCGTGAACTGGAAGGTATATTTAATAAGATTTTGCTGTATTTACCTGTTTTCCTCATGTATGTCTATATTGACAATCACGTGTATCTTTATCCTATTTTGGATCATCACCTGTTCCACACTAGCTCTTTGATAACTTCAAAGCAACAATAAATGCCAGGCAAAACTGTGCTGGAAACCAAGGTATGAGTCAAGTTTGCAGGCAGCATAGCAAAACAAGAGAAACAATTTTATGCTACCATGCAAAAGTAGTGAAGTTACACAGGAATGAAAGTAGTGAAGGTGGTGGAGCAAAGCTTTAAGTGAACTTCTTGGCTGCTTAATCGTGGGTGGCAATTAACCAGGTTAAGCATATCAGTGTTTGTAATATAGACAGATACAGTCCAACTGTTCCTCTAGTTTCTGTGCTACAGGATACAAAGTAAAAACAATGGGATGTGTGGAGATAGATCAAATGATGGCCAACAGAGTACAGGATATTTTGGTACCTTTTTTTCTGGGATTTCATCCTCCTAGAACACATGCAGTGTAAAAACAGAAAACGAAGATGAGGTCAGGAGGAACAAATAACCCTCCCTCCCACAATCATACATTAAAAAAAAAAAAAAAAAAAAATCAGAATGTCCTCTAGAGGGCAATCTTTGCACGTATTTCATCTAGTACTACATCTTGCAGCTTATTTTAAAAAGGTCTAGAGCTTTATGAAGGATGATTATTTTTAAAAAGTACTAAAATTGCTACCTAGAAAACTAAAAGTTTGATATCCACCCTGTTCAATATCACAATTATTTTGTGATTAGTGCTAGAAAAAGATCCAGTGTTTCACTGGAGACTCCCCTGGACTTACCTGTTCCTGTTCAGTGGATGTTTTCATGGAACTATAACTTCCAAGCTGACTGAGATTTATCCCAAACTAATTCACCTTCAAAATAAAAGAACTCATTGCACCACTGACCAAGTCTTTAAGGAAAAGTTATTTCTAACCACCAAAAATTCACATATCAGTAGATCAACTATCAACGTACATCAAACCGTTAACTGTCTTAAAACTTGCGAGTGCTCCTTGGCAGAAGCAAATATTTATCAGATAAAAGAGTTATTTAACTTTCTAAAGCTATTCAAAGTCTATTCCTAGCTTCCAGAAGTACACAGTGATTTAGAAATAGATTATAATAACCCGTATTCCATTCATAGTTTCTTTAGTCTATTAACCATCATAGACTCTCATCGGACTAATGGGTATATCAGCAGTCACAATGTTGTAACAGTTAATCTAACAGAATTTGGTGTCAGTTGTCAAGTAAAGGTGTTCTTTTCATTAGATTTGTAACAGGGATCCTTCTCTAAGCAGAATTTTTGAGCAATTTCTTACTTAAAACATGTTATGTTCAAATCTAGGGAATAGCAGAGCCATTATAAAAAGGGAGGCAAGGGGACGACTTTATGATGAAAATGAGAAAGACAAGAGTGCAAGAACAATGACTATGCATAGGACTGTGAAACTGACCTAAGATCAACTTCTTGAACATTTGAAGAATTAAAAAAAAAAAAAAAAATTGTATTTGGTAAGTAATGATAATGTGAAATGTTCCTAAAGATCTGTTTAGGCTGTTAGACGAAAACTGGTATCTTTGTGTGAACACCCATTAACAAGTCCTCTGCCTACTTAAAAAGCATCAATGGTGGATTTGAGAAATACCAAATTTGAAACCCAAGAGCCACTTTAACAAATCTGTCAGAAGAACACATTTGTCATAAATTTTGACAGGTACACATAACCCTCCCACACCTCATATCACATCAAAGCTCAGAACTCTGAAATCAAGTAACAGATTTATTGACAAGTTACAGTATTTAGAAGCCAGACATACTCACGGCTTCTGCTCTTAAGCCACATGTATCTAATTATTCCAAAATACTTGATGTAGTCATCTTCAGCAGTTGTAACGGAAATACACTATTGTTTTCCTTTGTGGCCACAGCCTGATACAAATGTCAATTATTTTGTTGCTGGAAAACATTAAAATGTCAGTTTGTATAGCATACGTATGCAGTAGGTTGTAGTTACGTTTCTGTGCACACTGCAGATGTGCAATAAGACTAACAGTAAAATGAATTATTTTTCCAATATCAGTCTTGCATGGAGTTACAGCTACCATAAAACAACTGTTTCTTGAACAGTAGTTTATACTGCTAAAATCACTTAATTCTTAATACAAAGTAGATGCATAAGTAGCTATAATAAAAATCTGTGTGCTAAAAAAAGGGAAAGACTTTTTTAAAAAGGATGAGAAGAGTTATTCATATGCTTGAGCAAATAATTATTTTAATACCTGGGTTCCTTTCCCTTACTACATAATTTTTTTTTATATAGACATACAAATGCTGTTCGTGCAGTTTTAAAAAGGCAGCATAATGGCTATCAGATACTATGGTTTGTCTTTAACCTTTTCAAAATACTGCAGAAGACACGCAGATTCTCAGACTCTGCCTTCAGTGCACAGGAATCTGAATGACAGTAGAGTAACTATTTAAACATTGTAGGGGGATACCTGAGGCTTATTAGAATCCTGTGTTAGGCAACCAATACTAAAATTTTAGGATTTTTAACTCCTCTAAACCCTGACGTGGATGTTCAGTTAAGACTCTTTATATAATAGGTTTAAAAACCACTGTATTTCATTTAAAAGGTTTTATGATTTGATAAAATATTTTGGCTTGACTTGCACAGGTATCCAAGGCTTCCATAACATCTTTATTTGAGGCTAGCACTTCTGAATTAAACTGGAAAGGCTTATTTCAGAAGGCAAAGATCTACTCTTGACAAAGCTGTTACTACCACCATAAGGCAAAACTTCAGACCAGTTGCTTATGTGAAATTCCATTATACCATTTCCTAATTTGGGGGAGCAGTGGGTATTTTTACGTGTTTTTAAGATTTGGTAAGTTTGTAGAAAACCATTATTTATTCCACTCAATATTTCCTCAGCTTTAATCCTCTGACATCAGAATCATCTTCACAACAATTCTACTGTTGCAAATGGAGGATTTTATCTTTAAGGGAGAAACAAGCCACCTGATCTGAGGTGTAAACAGCTAGAAAAAGTTCCTGCTGCTAGACAAGAGTAGAGTAGTAAAAACTGGGGTATGATAGAAGAAATCCTACTTCTGTGAGGTCAGGGGGAAGCCTGACCATAAACAGGAATCAATATTTCATCACACTAAAATATGGAAAACATACAGCAACATGAAAAATATCTCTCATTCGTGTTGGTTTTTTTTCATTGTGGCACCAGTCACTAAAGCTGCTGTTATAATGCCTCTATAATACGACAGTGACAATTACCATTTTACTATTTGTTTTGCTCAAAATGGAAAAAGTGCTCTAAATCCAGAGCATCTTGTTTTGTTCTAGTTGCATTCTGGTTGGAACACTCACTAAATATCACTGCTACCATTTCCTTCAGAACAGACACAAGTAGAACCACATCTCTTAAGTTCACAAGAGAGAATAACAATTCTCTGAGAGCCGTGAGAAAGAAATACTTCCAATTTCAGTGGTGAAGGCAGAGGGGACGGTCACATTCACCCCTAACTGCCTGTCCTCTGCCTACATGCTCAGGTCAATGGCTCTCGACTGCAACTGATCTCTTAGGAATAAAGCGGTAATACAAATATTCATCCCGAAATTCAAATTCATTCGTAATATGTTGGATGACGCCTCCTTTCATCAGTCTGTCTCCATACATCACAGCTTCCCCACGGTCAGAGGCAAGGCCAACTTGCATGAGCCAGTTCACCAGGTCACAGCCAAAGAAGATGCCAGTGGAGATCTTTGCACCACACCTGTATGTCAAAGGAATGATTCACCCACATGTTCTGTAAATCTGGTATCACCACTGCACGATGGGGAAAGGCAAGGAAAAATAGCAGGAAACAAGGAAAGACATCATGATAGTTAAGAGCATGTTAGAGGAGAATTTGCAAGTTTTGCATATTAGGGACATGCCAATGTTCACTACCTTTTCCTACAGACACTTCAATGAGAAGCAACATCTACTTACAGCGTTGTTTTAGGCTTGTGCAAATAAACTTCAGTGAACATAAGTAGCAATTTTCCTAAAAACACACACAATGTAATTCTATTTCTTGGATACTTACTTCCCATGTATTCATTAACATGACCATTTCTGCAACAGGATATCTGATTTGAGTGCAGCACGCCTGCAGCAACAGCAGCTCAATCTGCACTTTAATTCCATTTTATAATTTCTCTATAGCTTTAAACAGACACTAAGTGCTTACATCTATTGTAAACAAAAACCATTTAACTTGCATATCCGGTTAAATATTAACCACACAGGCAGTACTAAGAATAAACAAAACCTTTACAACAAGACTAAACTAATTGTCTTTTACATATTTATGAGGCAACGTCACTACCATCTACCTAGTTGCAGTGAAAACACCATTCAGAAATTTACCTGCAGCAATGAATGTTTCTGGTTATCTAAATCTGCTCTATGGAACCCAAGTGCAGGGTTTCTGAAGATGATTAACAGCTACACAGCAAAAAACCAAACTTCTTCCTCTTTTTTTTTTTTTTTAAGTTAAAAACAGCAGTAACGCAGAGCAAGTGTTAACATCTATTAGCAGAGAAGCAAAAATTAAACTAAATGAAAATCCATGATTGCAAGGTCTCAGTTACAGTATGTTTAAATCAAAGAGGACAGGATCAAGTTAGATGAATATTTAAAATGAGAAGATAAAAGCTTTCTTTTAACTCACAAGGAGAAATGAGACATGAAACTAGTTCCACACAAGCATAATATTGAAACAATGAAGCAACAAATGTCAGATTTTGATGTATTCTCAGGTAATATATGATTAAAAAAACCCCACAAAACCCAAACAAATGAACAGCCCAAAGCCCAAGAAACCACAATAGCAGCAGAGGCACAGGAAACACAGCTGTAAAACCTGCTCTATTTCAAAACAAACATTTTCTGATACATGTTTTCTGTCTGGCATGAAAGAAGCAAGTCCTTGAACTGCCATAGTTCATTTTTCCTAAATGGATAACTTTATTTCTAATCGAACATTACTGATTTCTGAGGAGACTGAACAAGTGATGCTGTCAAAAAAAAGTTCTGGAATGTGGTTTCGGACTATCTGACCATTAAAAGACCACCCCATTCCACCAAACTAGACCTACTTAAAAGCTCACATAACAAGAGAAGTAGAAGTGTCCTGTTAGAACAATTCTTCATGTCTCCATTTCATACAGTAAATACTTAAATAAAGGCAGAATCTTCTCCTTGTTCCTGCTGCTTCTGTCTGCATTTCTCTTCTCATCCACCTACACATACCTGAATACATAATCCTTGATTTGGGTATCATAATTTGCATCTGAAAGCTTTGCTGATCTCACAAATTGAGGATTAGGCCTCATGAGAGGCATGAGCAAAAGAAATTGTATGAGCTCAGAAGGTGTAAAGGTCCTAAAACCACTATAATCTCATGTATTGAGTAGCCTCTGAGCACACACTGACATCAGTTGCAATAGTTTTGCTTCCTGTAAAAGCTATTTATTAGTAAACATTCAGTCACATAAATACTGACACCTTCTTAATCTCAAAACAAAACAAATGAAGGGTCTCAAGTTTGACAAAACTCAGACACATGCACTCTATTACAGGCATTACCATATACATTTCTTCAGAAAGATTTTCTCTTCTGAACTCCAGCTAAATGCAAAAAACTGGGGAGATGCCTTAATGATATGAAACTTTTTATAATTTATATAAAACCTAATGGGATAATGTGATAACTTGCACCTCAGTGTTTCAGTTTGAGACTAGAAACATTTCCCTGTTACTGCTAAATTCTTAATTCTCACCTTGAGGTTTGAATAAATATGCCACAACAGGAATTGCCTGCAGACAGATTAATCCGCATTTCATTATTTCCAAAAGGTGAGCTATGACCTTTGTAACAAGTTATATGTGCAGGGAGGAACCTTACCTTCTGCCTCTGACAATGCTTTTGACACAGTGATCCCTATGATAACGAACAAACTGTTGACAGGTCATCCTGATTTCCTCAGGTACAGAGGGATCTGTATGCCCTGCTGCTTCTCTTCCTCCCCAGAGAAATTCAAGTCTTAAAAAAAAGAAAAAGACAAAAAAAAAAAATAGAAGAACAGCAAGTCAACCAGAGGCATTTTTAAGGAAACTGCAAATAATAAAACAGAACTCATAGGAAGCTTATCACAACTGTTTCACTGTGTTTGTGCCCGATACTTTATATACAATCTTCCTAATAAACTTGTATGGCTTTTGAACACTGAGAGGTTTTATTCTAGGCTCAGGCAGAAGGAACGACAGAGAGCAGTTGGGAGCCAGCTTTAGCTGCTGGATTCACACCGCAGCCAGCTAGCTCTAAGTTAAAGACGGCTTTGTACAACTTACGCCTCCACAGCGAGGCATCAATGAAAGTGTCCATCCACACAAAGCACTTGGCATGATGTTATGAGTACAGGACTTTAAAACAGTGATGATAGAATCTGGTTCACCATTTGCATCTAAGTTTTAACTTATCAGTTGAAGTTATTTCCTAAGATCCATCATCTCACTGATCCAATCACATACTTTGCCACCATTTGCCAAAGATCTTGTCTATAGGGAGCCTGTGGGATTTTCATCTTTGTGAGCGTCATTAGGACAGCAGTAAAAACTCGTGCACAGTGAATTGCAATTAGCTCTCCACAACTGGGAGAGAAAAAGAGATTTGGAAGATGGAATAAATAGGAAATGGAGTGCAATGGCACTGAACACTCAATACCCTTTAAAAATTATTATCTTTAATAACTAAGTTTATAGGTGTAAGTGTAAAGATTCTGCTTACCTTCGCTTGAACGGTAGAATGATTAAATGCTTATCTAAGCCAAAAATACCAAAGGAAATGAAGCCCTGCAGGAAAAAAAAATATAGAAAAAGCAACATGAAGCAAAAACTTAGGTTTCTAAAGAACAGAAATAAAATGTTAAAAACTCATTGCCAAAACACACGTGAGAAGTATCCCTCTTCTCTAGATATCATTCAAAACACATTTTGTTTCTGCTTTGATTTTTCATTTGGGCCTTAAAAAGACAGATTAATACGTAACAGTCCACCGAAGAAACTCTTCAAAAAACAGTTCAGTAAACCTAATGCTGTGACATGCCATCTGACTCTTAAAACATCGGTATCGTTACACAGCCAGTTATTTAAATCTGTCTTTGTTAACATCAAGCAAACAACTGACTTATTGTAAGTTGAATGCTGGAATGCCCTCTCGTTAATTCATTTTTCTGTATTGCTTTTGTATCGAAACTACTATCATTACTTGATACTGCACTGCATCTTGTAGGCACACCTGTCCATGGATCTATAAAACATTCCTCTAGTATGTGTATTAACACTGCCTTGCTTTCACCTTCATAGATAACAAAGGTATCTTGTGTCAGTTTGCACTGAAATAGGCTATGTGCAGCTGGAACAATTACACATCTAATTGTCAGCTATTAGCTAATGGTGCTGTAACTGAAACTGAAGAGATAATACCTTAAAGCCTTACAGTGAAAGTATCCATGTAGCCATCTTGCACCTATTTAGTTATACTGGTGTAATTCTACAGAAGTGACACTGGTGAAACTTTCTGGTACAAATAAGGCTAAAATCCTACTCAGTTTCCACAGGCATTTGGCACTCAGTTGTCATTTGTACCTTTGAAAGCGTTCACGCACATAAAACATGCTCATGCACATAAAAGACATGCATTATGGTAAGAAACCTTTCAAAGCAAAAGAAAAAGCTTGAGAAAAAAAGGCAAAACAACACAAGGAGCTGGTGACTTCAGCATTGTTTGAGGACTTCAGCTTACAGTGCTCGTAACAGCATGTGCTGCAACACCCACTAACAAAGTCATTTTTGGAACAAACACTGGTAAGTACCTGACCAAAATTAAACACAGCACAGAAGAACTGCAGTTCCACATACAGCCTTCCAGGCTCTTGGTTGAACAGCCACCACAAACAACTGGAAAGATTCTGTTAAGGAAAAAAAACACAAAAAACCAACAACAAAAACCACATACCTAACCTGGCTGTTAAAAATCAAAAGCACTTCCTTACTCTTCACATGGTAACAGATTCTTGCACAATTTTCACTGCCTTCATTTAACAAATGATTCAGATAAAGACAAATAAGAGGGAATAAACACCTTAAACTTCATTCTAGTTACGCTTAATAGCTGGGGCAGGGGAAGAGCTTGTTTGGTTTTAAACCAAATAATGCAAAACATACCAGTGTAGAGGTCCTGCTCCTTTACACGTTTACGTAAGGAACTTGCCTTAAGCATACTTAGGTATTCAACCTAACACAGACAATATTAGCCCAGACAGATTTGCAGTATTTGTCTTTAGGCCTGTTTAGCTGAGACCAGTGCTTTCTACATATTTTCTGCATAGTTAAGATTGCGTTAAGCTGAAGCACATACCACTTCAGCTATTTTAGATGCCTGACAGAAGGAAAAAACCTCCAAAGTTAACCCCTTTGGGTGTAAAGGCTAATTCTTTAATGTGACTGGTCTCATTTCATAGTATCTATGTAATCATCCAGATACTACTAAAAGAGAGGCTAACATTTTGGGACACCTCTTAAATACAGAAGATTTAAAAAAATGTATTAGCATGGAATATTTGATACAGGAAATTTGAGAAAGGGAAAACTTCCGTTTTGTAATTTAACAGGACCTGAAAAGCAACAGTAGTGACTATTACACTACATAGCTGTGCCACATTGTCCTGCTTTGCTGTATTACATATTTGTGCCATAGTATTTTCCATTTCAAACAAAGATACTTCCCCCCTAATTGTCATCCACAAGAAGCTCAACTTTGAGCATTACACTCAAATAGAGAGAGTTGTTTCTCATATTTGTCACAGTTAAAAATTCAAATTATATCCCTAATGCATTACATTCTGGTATTTCACACTTTTACACAGGAGCAGCCACCTTCACAGCTGGGATCTAGTCAGTAATGATGCTTGGCAATACCAACTCAGCTATGTTGCATCCAAACCACCACTAAAAGCAACAAAACTGCATTTTCCCATTTCAAATAAAGTCTTACATTATTCTTCATTACTAAAACACCTCGAAGAAGTCCAAGTTCCAAATACAAGCATGACCAGATAGAAACAATCTTTGTACAGTCTCCTTCAGAAGTAGAACTCACTTTATATTTTTAATTGATTATTGTCTTGGGAATAAGATTAGCTCTTGAGAAAAATGGGAAGAGGGGCAGCAGCGATGAATTAATTACCAAATTATATAATTCCATTTTTTTCCCCTTAGGGTTCTCTAGTGTGGCTTGCTCACTAACATCATGAATCTTAACTTGCCTTTAATTTATGGTGTGGCACAGAAAAATTAATTTTATGATATCCCTCTTCCAGTAAAGGAACAAAATAAAGCCTCTAATTTATTTAATGAATTGTTACATGAGGAATTGGAAGATTTTTACTGGACTGTCTACATAGCTTTCCTAAAAATCATTCCACCTCAATCAGTTAAATAACATGGGGAGAAAAAAATATTTACAGCAAACAGGCCAACAATAAGAAGTAAGCATAGCAGCACATGTCTGGCCAGCTGTTTGTCTCCAGTCTGTAGAAGCTGTTCTTCCTGAGCCAATACGCAGGTTTGAGCACTGCAATGACTCACACACTGATCAGCTGAAAAACAAACCAGAGTTTTTTATTAGGCTTCTAATGAAAAACAAGCCAGAGTTTTTCATTAGGCTAACTTATGAACTCCATGAGCAAACTTGTTAATGTAACTTGCTGAGTTAAATTACCCTGTATCTGTAATGAAGTCACACACAAAAAATTTAATATTAGCTTCGACAATAACCTGTTCAGACATCTATTCTCAAATGAAGCAGTAGTTTACATGTGCTCCTAAAATGAAGAAACTTTTTGCAACAGAACTCTTCTTTCAAAGGTTAAGGAAACTTAAGTTTTGGCTAACATTTAGAAAACACTACTAGAAATAATGAAAAAATAGCATTTTCTCAGAATAGTTTTTAAACTTAGAATAATTTCTGGAATAAATATTTCAAATATACCATCAGCTCTAATATTTTTACTCTGTATCTCAGTGTTGTTGACCTCTAGATCAGACCATCAACTGTATCGATTTCAGTTATGTGACTGTATTTTTAACATGGTATATCAGAACACTGTCATAATCCTATCAATCAAAAGAGCTAAACACACAGAGAATGAATGCTTGTCTTCCAGCTGCAGAGTTCTAAGGAATTCTGAGTATCTTCCTCTAGATGGCAGTGAAAAACTTCCTGGCAAGGACATACCTAAGTATTTGCACCAGATACCTGTCATAGCAGTTCAATGGGATAGTAGAAGGATTAGTAATTATTGCAGCCAAAGTTACACAGGTGTATCCATTACAATTTCCTTTTATTGATTTATAGTTTTGAAGTGTTCACTCAGTAGGTCGAAAAAATTTCCACTCAATCGTAAGATATTTTCTACTTTATCTTTTAGGATAAGAAAATTAAACTGGTCTTCTTCCATCACTGGAAGACATTCTTATGATGTTTGTCTGAATTACTTAATAGGTAAAATAGTTGGCAATAGGTGGAAAGCTAGCATTTTATCAGAGGAGACATAACTAAGTATGTTTCAGTGTGAAATACTTAGATTTGTTGGAAGTTATGCTGCATCCAAACAAAGCACAAGGATATGAACTTCCTTGTTAAGGATGCAAAAAGCAAGAAAAAAAAATAGGAAAAAAAGAAAGGTTGCACTGCAGCTAGCTTTGATTATTGAAAGTGATGTACGACGAGAATGGGCTGAGCATGCAGTTTTCCATCAGGTGCTGAATGGTCACTTTGATCCATTTTTTCTATATCAGTGACTCCTAAGGCCCCCTTACTCAATTTTCTCCATCTCTCCCCTAGACATGGATAATACAGCAGCATGGACATTTGATCTAATCGGCAGTAAGTGCTTGCTCCTCTAGATCTGAAGTTTCTCATTCAAAAACCTGTGCATGATTACAACAAAGGCTTCAAAGGCCTTTTTAGAAGACACAAGGTGTGAATGTAAGAATGTAAAAAAGTGTGTTTAAGTTGAAAATTTGAGGCAAAGTAGGGTTATGCATTCAACTTCCCAGTGTCCAAATAAGGCAACAATGGAGACTTCAAGTCTAAATGCTCAGAAGGACATGTTAAAGTAGCTTAGTGGTAAAAAAACCAACCCAAAACAACTGTCCATCTTGAGCACCTAAAGATTACTAATAACTATCAGGCAGAAGAGAACAAACACCTAACATATTGCCTAATACTTGAATTTAGTATGAAACATAAGTTACCTAGGTAGAGTTGAGAGAACAACAGCCCAAACAGTTTCTTTGTGAGAACAACACACATAAATGTTGTGGAAGAGCTTGTAGTATTAAAACAAGGAGACACTACCGCTTTACCTGTCTCAATTGGAGGAACCTTGCTTCCAACAGCATTTGACGCTGCTTTGCTCCCTCTAGCACAGGATAATTCACCATTTGTTGTTTGACAAGAACAGCAACCTATTAAGCGTATACAGTAACAGGATAGTTAGCTTCCTTCACTACCATAACATATTTTCCAAGTATAACAATATATTCTATACAGCTTCAACTATTATGCTCAAAAATAACCCAAAAGGAGAAAGCAGACTTAATTTTTCCAATTTGCTGAGAGGGCAAATGGATTATACTACTAATATATAGAAATATTTAACATAGCACCATGGAAGCAACACAAGCACTTTTAGCTAGAGGGAAAACATACCGGAAGTGATCAAAAAGGCTATATACAAACAAGGAGGACTAGAAACGCATTGAGTAGCAATGCTGCAGGCATACAATTCATTCTCAGAGAGACAGTTTAGTGGTTGAACAATCTAAGATGCCTAGTGGACTTACAGTGATAATCATCAAACTTTTCATAGAAACATAAACCTAAATCCTTGGGCAGCTATGTCTAGATTTTCTTCTGTCCTAGCATAACACTTGAAGGTGTAAACAACTGTCCTTCCCAGGTCAGAATTAAATTTGGAACATTATTTTATTGTATCCCAAGCCATTTATTCTTTTACAAATCTCCTTTCCCTCCCTCTTTCTGCAGATGGCTGTGCAGAAGATCCTGGAGAAGGCTGTGTAGAAGATCCTGCAGAAGGCTGAGGCACAGCAGCTGAAACTCGATTCCCCTCACTCCCTTCCACTTCAACCTCCTCCACTTGGCTACGTGGTGAATATGGGTTCAATACCTCATAGCTTGACTCTTGCCTATTTCTGTTCATGCACATAAGTGAGATACCTGCCATCAATATACTGATGAACAGGATCACTGCTGTGGTAATTATCTGTTAAGAGAGCAAAGAAAATGCACTTAAATACAAAATAAAGGAAAATAGTTGCCTAGGTCTGTCTTTCTAACTTCTGTACTTTCCTAAAGATACTAACAAATGCATCTGAATAAGACAGTTTTCTATATTTACTGCTCTTGCATCTTGTGGCATTGAAAGAGCAATCAGTACACGAGACTACTTTTCCTTGCCTGAGTAACTCAGCTCTTTTTTTTTTTTTTTAAGTGGGGACCCCTATTTCCCATGCAATCCAAAAACATCCCCTCATCATCATCATGTTTCCCCTCAGAATCATTAGTTTTGTTCAGAATCATTTAAGTTCTGTTCAGTCACCTTTTAATTCCAAAGAGGAATGTGCTCTTGTCACCCTCTGGCACAGCTCTGATTTCCACGCTTTCTCCAATAGGAAGCATCCCATTAATTAACCTTTCCTTCTAATCATCAGCCACTGATACCCAGAGTCCACTGTGAGGCTATTTTAGTACTTGTGAAAGTGCCACATGAATAACCCCGAGAGACTCATAGCCTCTCTATCCATAACAAAGACAGAAGGAAAACACAACAAATATCTATGCTAGTGCAATTCACATCCTCTGAAAAGAGGAGCTATTTATTGGTAAAAACTGTAGTTCATGCTCAGGGACTTGCAACCCATGATTGTGCAGAGAAGTCTCCCATAGTGCAAACACTTACTGCTACACATGTAAAGTAGATCCTATCTATTACAGACCAAAAGCCATTAATTAGTTATGGGATGGTAACAATTTTAGATAATTATCAAGTGAGACTACAAATTAGTCACCAGGAAAAGGTGGCTCTGCAATTCATTACCATTCCTAAGCCTTTTCTTTAGGAAGCCTACTCCCTCTTTTTCTTAGTCATAGCTGCCTAAACGTGGAGGTCCTTGTTCAAACAAGTTTCCCTAATGGTTCATTACAGAAATACATTTTTGTATCAATCTACAAGCATTCTAATTCTATAATGATACTGTTACTATGGTAGCCTGTACTTCGATTGAAAGCTACTTACATAAGAAGCAGAGAATGCAATTTCTCAATAATGTATTGGATATGGCAGAAGTCTGAAGTGATGAGGACAGAACATGTCATACCTGATGTTTTCCATAGAAAAAGGCAGAGTCAATACTAGTGCTGTTACGTTCACCGACAATTAGTAAGATTCCCACCAGCAGTGCTGGGACTCTGAAAGAGCAAAACCGAACAAAGTAACATATTTAGCATACTCCCACTAATTCTACAGGGAAACACCTGAATTAACTTACCCCCATCCAGCTATGATAACAAATCCAATGGGAATCTTTACTGTTTCTCTCTTCCTCAACAGAAACAAAGAGAAAGATAGAAAACCTACAAAAAAAAAAAAAAACCAAAATAAATGCCTTGCTTATTATTAAAAAGGGAACTGATAAATACAGAGTCTAGAAACTCCATGATGTGACCTGCTCAATAACTAAGATATTCTTCTCAGACCTTCAGATAGTCTAAAATTGGTTTTCTAGTTGTATTCTGAGAAAGTAAAATAGAAACACATATTATCTTAAAAAAATCATATTAATAATGAAACATTGAAGAAATTTCAGGACATTTTATATTAAACATCCACTTCTAAATGCTTGGAAAAGTTCACAAGCGTATAAAAGATGTCATAAGAACATATAAGACACAAGTAACTAATTTCTTAACGCATCAACAGCAGTTGTTCTAGACTGACAATCTTAAGTAACCAACAAATAATGTTGTATTCTGTTGTAGCATTTCTTTAAAAACTGATTAGTCCTTTATAAAGTCAATGATAAATTTAACAAAAAAACATTTTATGTATTTTTACATATATAAGTATATATGGCAGTATCTCCTGGAACTGCCTATTCTATTCACAACTCGGAAGCTCAGCAACATTTCCCATGCTGAAGCAAAGCTAGTATTTATGTTCGGCTATACTAATCATGAGCTACCTATTTCAGCTAAATACAAATCCAACTGACTCCACAAAACACCACAGGAATTAAACCCTTAGACTTCTGGACTCAAGAACAGTATAAAAAGTCTCCTGAATACCCAAAGTCTCTTTTTTAATCATACAGGTAAGGTTCTCCATGCTTCTTGATGCATCTTTCAATTCTGCCTATTTCAAGTAATCCCTTCATTAATCATCTACACCTGCAGAACACACACACATTGTTTTTAAAAATTGCAATTGCCAGCGTAAAGAAGTGGTAAAGGTAATTTGGTATTTCCCTTCATTCTGTATTTCCTACTTTTTTGAGGCACAAAGTTTTTAAATCTACTTAATGCTGAATAATTACAACTTTAAACTCTGCATTAATTAAAAATCGCCAATAAGATTTTGACTAGCTGAAGGGCAACCCACCACATTCACTCTATTTGTAATCACTTCTGCCTTGAGAGCGGGTTCTTGTCTTTTGTTACAAGCTAGCAAGGCTGCTGTATATAGCAAAGACCTACCTAGGTATAAGCTTTCAATAGCAGAAACAGTGCCTGACACTGAGCCCTGTGTTGCTAGCGCAGCTCGGCACAGCTTACAAGTATGCATATTTGTAGAACTACATGCATGCGAAAGGAACAATTACTCTGAAGAATATAATAACGTTATTTCAGTACGTTAATCTTTTATTACTAGAAAAATCATACCTGTCCACAGGTAGGTGCTATAAAGTGAGCTGTAGAGGAATATAAATACTAGGATCTGCATGGTGATGTCTTTAACAATGAAATTCCATACCACCATTCCAATGCAAGCAATAAACTGGAAAGAAAGGTAAGATGCCATCATTGAAACTGGGAAAGCAGGATGGCAAGAAAAACTGAACACAGTGTCATATAGCTATGACAAGCTTCAAAACTCCACCCCCAGATTCACTGGAGTGTGATTTTTATGAATTGGATAGTTCTCATAGCAGTAAAGCAGTGCAGCAGTAAACTCAGTATTACAGTTATGTCACTGACTACAGTACCCTATTTTCAGGAGAGGGTTTTTTTGACAGCAATTATATAGCTCAGATAAACTGGGAGTAAGGCAAATCAGAAAAAAATATATAATATTTATCTATCTTATAATAAGTAAAATGTAAAGCTTTTGTTAAGTACAAACCATTTATCTGAAATGATTTGGACAGGAGGCTGAGGTCAACAGATGTTTGTTCAGCCAAGAATTATACAAGTTTTCACCCAGTGATACTGCATATATGACAGTTTTAGTACTGAAGGAATCTGAAAAGAAAGGCTGAAATATTATGAAAACAGTAATACAGTAGTTCAGTATTTTTAAGATGATATCTAACTTTGCCGTTATAGACAAGAAGCACCTGCAACTCTCATACATGACTTTTTTCGAATGTGACTCCATGATCAGACCTCAGAGTTTTCTCTCTCTCTCTCTCTCTCTCTATTTTTTTTTTAAACTACAGAATACTTCAGAAAGCACTACCACACAGACATATTGCAAGCACAGGCTGCTCTCACTGAATTTAACATCAGTTGTGCAGTTGACTTCAAGGGAAGAAGGAACATGTACTCTGTAGTTTTCTCTCAGTTTAAATAACAATTAAAATTAATCCAGAGCTATTTAGTTTTGCCCTTCCCTAGCCACCAGCCATGCATTCCCACACCCCTGCCTTGCATCAGCACTGGCACATGTCTGATCCCTCAGCGAGCCACTTCAGGGAGCTAAACCAGCATGGGGATTAGTTTTCTATTTAGCTCCTTGAATCAAGCCACCATAGAGTCAAACACACACTGCTGCTGATCCTGGTATTGCTGACTTCAGATTGTCATAAACTGATACAGAGGTGCACTCAACAGTGTTAGGCAGTAACTTATAATGCTAAAAATATATTTCAGAAGCCACTCTCCATTCTGATTGCTCATAGTTCTGTTTGAAAACCATACTATCAGCATCAACTATCCTTTTCTTCAAGGGTGTATTTTAAGGCACAGAAATTGTTCGTACAAGTCGTACATTAGATTCCCCTGTCCTCCATAGATGGCTACAAAGATATCACTGTAGAAACCAAACTTGTAAAAATGCTAAGAGTTTAAAAAAAAAAACGAAACTCACACAACAGCATTCTTCTTACCTGAGCAACAAGTAGATTTGTTGTAATCATATGAGGAAGCTGTTTGTATTTCTTACTCAGAAGAACAACAGTAAGAGACCAGATCTGTAACATACAAGAAAAAATTTATTAAGAGTAAAACAAAACCCAAAAGAAAAAGATGAGTATTCTGGCAGACTATGGTGAAATTAAATATACAACAAATCTTGAAAAGTTTCTTAGCAACGTGACTACTGTAGTCAGCTCTGCACCATCTGCTGCCAGTCCCTGTGCCTGAGCAACTACAGCCAGAAAAAGCAATGCATCTTTGTGCTCTCGTGATTGTGAAATATTTCCAGGAAGCACCAAGAGCTTGCCTCTAGTGCGCAGAAACCTGATTGTTCCTCAGGACATAAATGACCACAGACTAGCCTGCCAATTTAGAATTTAAAATTCCCCCCCTGCCCCCCCAATCTCCCCAAATGATCTGTGACAGCAAGAGGCAGCATTCACTTGTGGCTTCCCTTGAGGCACAGTTTCAAGACAGGAGGACTTCAGTAAGACAACAACTTAAGAAAATTCCAACTCCCTCCAACGTGGATGTTTTTATTTTAAAAAAGCAAACAAACAAAATAAACACACTATCTGTAGTGCCTATAAAGCCAAAACACAATTCACATTGGACTTCTGGATTATCAACTGACTTTTTAAGAACTGTGCATCCAGAATTTCTAGGAAAGGAATTTGATAAAGCTATTAAAACTTCCAAGTTAAACATTTTCATTAATACTTCATTAAATAAATATTCACGGACATTTCTGGAGCTCAAGTTTGCACACAGCCTCCATTACTGTGATATCCAAGCACCTCACATGGCTTGAGGTAATTATTCCCTGAGGTGTAAGCTAGTACTGTTATTCCCCCCCACCCTGTTATTTAAAAAAAAAAAATAAAAATTGAAAAGGACAAACTCTTAAGCCCTGCACTAGCGCTCTAATTCACTTGCCTATCTTTCTCTACAGTGCAGCCTTCCAGCTCACCCACTGCTAAATCAAGAACATTTTTAACTCCTTCCTCATCCTTCTGCAACAGGATATGACGAGGAAATGTCAGTGATCTTATCATGGCTCAATTTGCTGCTTATGTACTAACGCTACCCTGACATGACAGTGTGCTTTTGTATTTCACTTCATGAACACCTACCAGAGAAATGAGGCTGACAATACTTATGTCAAAGCTAACATTTTGGAGTGCAGATGCCAGTGGGTTGGGGTCCATAGATGGAATGGTCAACAGCCATGCAGAAACATACATAATAGGTGCAGACACAAAAGTGCTAATCACCATGCCTGAGGTAATCTGCAAGAAGAGTCGAACAGAAACAACAACAGAGTTAATCAGATCTCAAGCTAAATAATCTGCTTTCAGGAATATAACTACTGGCAAAACCGTACTTTTGAATTAACAAATCACTGAGTTATTTCTGTAACAAATTATTTAGAACTTGAGCCAGAAGGTATCCATTTTACACATACAGTTAAACTGAAAATTTTAACAAGCTTCTGATATAGTAGGAATAGAAAGTTCCCTACTGCAAATTCTCACAGAGCTTTTTCATGGCTGTCAAATATATTAATGACTACAGTCTAGGGGTGAATTTACAATGTCACAATTTACTTTTGGATGCAAAGTTTCACACCACAACTAAATAAGAAAACATGTAGTTATGCAAATACTAATATGCAACAATTCATGAAAAGAAGCCATATATATTTACATTTAAGTGATTTCTGTTTTGGCTTCTCATTGTCTTTCTGCTTTCTAGAATTTGCACAGTGATGAAGTGTGAATTGTTACTTATACTACAGATCTCTCTCTTTAAGAGATTTCCTGAGTTTGTTGGGCACAAAATTCTATCTTGTAAGGTTTACTTTTAGCATCCTTTTTTTTTTCAGTCTTTTCTTTAAAAAAAAACAAACAAAACAAACAAACCCAACTAAACAAACCAAAAATAGATAACATTAAAAACAATGGAAGTCAACAGGAATGTTTTAATGTCGCTTCAAGCAGAAGAAAGGAAACAGTTATAAAATTTGTATTTTAAGTTGAAAAGATAATTGATACCCTCTACTATAAAAAAAGTAAAATGCATTTCTATCGCAAGATTTAACTGACGGGCAACACAACAGAACCAGTTAAAGCATAAATTCTTCTGTAAGTTTTCAGCATTAAGCTAAAACTGTTCCTATTGAAGTCAGTAACATAATTTCTGTTTTTTCCTACAAAAACAGTAGCTCAAAGGTAAGGTCTTTGAAAACAAACAAACAAAAAACTACAAACCCACAACAAAGCTACAAGTTCTTTATATTTAAAGTTATCCTAGTTCTTCCTATGAGAGCCACAAATAAGAAAAGTATGAGGACTTATTGATGAAAGTGTAGTATCAAGACACTTGAGACAGCAGGAAAGAGTACTTTGCTTAATTAATAATCTGAAATATAATTTATATTTGAGATCTAGGGCGTACAAGTAAACCTAAGGAAAGCAAAGTCATCAAGCCTACTTATTTATTTAAGTATTTAAACAACAAAGTTAAGTTCAAAGTTAGTACACGTTTGGGAAAAGCTAACTACATACAATTCCTACTTCCATATTAAATTGACTTGCAAATATTGCGACACCAGGTGCTGCTGGAAAAACTCCATAAAGAAACGCATAGTTTGATAAACTTGTGTGGTTGACTGTGCTGTCGCTCTTGTCCAAGAGTTCCACCATTTCTCTACAGAGAAATGGCATCATAAGTCTGAAAAGAGAAGGAAAAAAGTAATTAAAAAAAATATTACTCAAGCTATAGCAATAGACTCCTCTTTACATAGAAAATGAACCAAAAGAAAATATAAGGCTTGTTGGAATACTATTTATGAAAAGCAAAATACTGACATCACTTTGAATGATTGCCTTTACTGTTACCATGACATTTACCAGCTGCTTAAAAATTTTGTGTCACAAGTTAAACTACAAAAAACCCATACACAAAAAAAAATGGTAAAAGTGACAACAAACTCAGGGATATAAGCACATTCTCTGATTGTGCAGACATGTTCCCTGTATAAACCTCAGATTTAGAAAGGTAAAACAAAACAAAACAAAAACACCTCATTTTTCAACTGTTAAAGTAATAGTAGCTCTAAGCAGTCAGCAGCTTTGAAACTTAGACCACCTTTCTGCAAGCTGTCTGAAATATAACAAGAGCTCAAGCTTAAGCATCCCATTCTGAAATTTTTGGCCAGCAAAAAACCCCCTGCATCAATGCTAGTCTGTTCACCTTTAGCAGTACCCTAGATCTCACACAGACTCGCTATGTAAGCCTTACACCGGTTAATTACATAAACTCATCCGTAAAGCAAAGTGGTAACATTAAAAACCATTTTTTCTCATGTTCTTACAAAATTTGTCATTGAGCTGGTTTACAAACTAGGTCTTTAAGTTTGTTAAGTTAGTTGTACTGATATTCAAATGCACCTTCAAATTTTACAGTATAAACTTAACCACCAAACAATTGTTCTATTATGTGAATTGTAGCTCCATAGCAAATAAAATATTTAGTTCACTAGTAACTGAGATATATTCAAGAGAAGATAATGATGGCAGAAATTCTAAATACAAATCGTCATTTATTCATGCTTAAAAGTTAGACAGTTTAATAGTGCAAAGCAACCATTTTTAAGCTCTTCCAATATAGCAGTTTCAGAGATTTATAGACAAAGCAAGGAAAACCAACTAATTTAGAGATGTATTGTGTAATCCAAAGAAAATACAAATACTAATGAAATAATACTTAAACTCACTCTTGTCTAACTTTCTAACTAGTAATTTTAATTTAAGCTAGTAATTCCCCAAACACCCAATTTGTGACAGGGTGGCCTGTGGGCAGTCCATACAGCCACAGCACCCCTGATTTTTTTTCTCTGCAGAGCCTGACAACAGGTTTGTGGTGTGCAAAATTTCTTTTAAAAGTTAACAGTTGTATACTATCAGAGTTTGGGAAGCACTCACCCAAAATACTGGAAGTGAAACATACTATCACTATAATGATTTTGAGAGAAAAGCCATCTGACCAGTATATTCAGAGCTTAAAACATCTAGAGAACAAAATTATAAAAGTACATAAATCAAACTTACAGTTTAGCTGTGATGAGAAGGATCAGTGCAACAAACATACCCTTTGTCAGTTTCTTTGTTTGTCCCACCATAGTTAGTCCAAGGTAAAAAAGTGCGGAGCCAGAAAATGAACTGCCCAGTCCATCAAGGAAGTTTTCAAGGTATTCGGGAATTTTCTGGCCAAGAATAAAGTTTGAGGCAATTCCTATGAAGACCATGAATACAATTGGGTTCTGCAAAACTCGAAGGAGTGCTAGGCCCACTATTTTGATTTTGCTGTGTGACACAGTGCGATTATCCCTCCACTTCTGGATTTCACAGAAGATAAACCCAAGAGGGTTTAGCATCATAAGAGATATTGGAGCCACTAGGTAAATGTACTGGAGATATTCTGGGTAAGTGGCTTGATATAAAGCTTCAACTAGAAGACAGGAAATGAAAAGTCATGAGTGATAACATTTCAGTACAAAAATACATTAATATTGAAATTAGGTTTTGTTGTCTGAAAACTAGAGAAAAATTATTTCATTATCCTTCAGAGATAACTGCATTTACAATCAATGTAAGATGATGTCGTAAGAAAAGTACGCCCAATCACCATTAGGCCACAATCATCTAATGAACACATTAAAGATCAAAGATTAACTATCCAACACTATGTAATGATTCTATGAATATTCAACATTTACAGGAAAAAAATAAAATAAGATAACAATCCCGCACGCCCTTTGAGTCATCCCAAATGCTGAAAAAATTGTTTTTGCTGAATTGCTTTTCCTCCCCAGAAACATGAGAGTCGTGGAGAATTACATGCACCTTTGCAGGACACAAGTTGCTTCTCATCTTAGGGGAGTGTCACATCTCTGGAATTTAATCAGTTTTCGGTGGGTAAATCAGGTGTAATCTTTCTACACTGATTCCGTACAACACAGCAAAGCAACAACCAAATAGAAAATACATTAGCACATAATTATTCGTTCATTTTCTGGCACTACTCAGGACAAGAGTTATCGCTGTAGTTCTGGTCCCTCAAGGAACTTTAAATGATGAGCATTTGTTTTCATTGCTACTACATACTTGTGAGTCAAGGTAGAACTGCTTCTTACCTCAAGTTTGTGCTAACAGCACTTCAAAAATCATGAAAAGACTCTGGAAAGATATACAAGATTCTATCCTAGGGTGAATTAAAAAAAAAAACCCACAATATTTTTTAGGTAGGATTTTGCTTTCTTTTAATCCCAATACCCTATATTAAGGGCAGAAAAGTCACTTATAAAGCTGTGAAGTCTTGAATCCTGCAGAATGCAGATGGTTTTGGTCTCCCTATCACAATTTCGTGACTTCATATTGAAAAATGGAAAAGGAGAAATGATGCATATGAAGCACTTTCTCACATAAGCAGTAAAATAATGTTTAAATTGCCATGACTGCTTCCTGTTTGCATTTTAAATGTGTTTTATAAACAAAGAGTTCAAGCGAAATTACTTTATTTTAAAACTTCTAGGTCTATACTGTTGTATTTCCTATATATTTATTAAATGATGAATTAAATCTACCAAAATTGCTGTTTATCTGGGTAACAATACAGAGTTTATCTGTGTAAGAATGCCACACTACCTTTCCAAAACCAAAACTTGTTTGGAAAGGTAACATTTACCTTTTACCTGGCTTATAATGTTGTTATTTCCAATAGTTTTCAGAAATATGCAAGGTGATGCTTTCTATGGGATAACTTAACACTCTTAAAGTGCTAAATAAAGTTTAAGATCACTAAGCAGCCAACTGTTGCAGGTATTTCCATTTCCCCATATATTAAACTTGTTCTTTTCCTGAAAAAGTTTTCCCTCGTGACTATGTTTTTCAAAATCCAAAAGATTTTTACCTTCATATTAGCTAAGCATCTGCAATGACAGGATCTACTAAGTGCTAAATCAGCATTTACTATAAACAGCCTCCTCTTTAGATTGAATAAACTGACATTTGCAATTAGTTCATTTCCAACATGTAAGAAAAAGCACTAAAGGTGCTTTTCGTCTTACAAGCCATGATTAAAGTACATATAAAAGACCTACCTGCCCTAAAATCCTGAATAAACTGCTGAACAGAACTACCAAGTTTGTGGTTAGTTACTGCATTTAACAAGCCAGTTTTAAACACTAAATATATTAAACATGCTGGACACTTCTTATGTAAGTCAAAATTTTCTAAAACCTTAGAGCAATGCTTTTATGCTACTTTATATAGAATGCCCATTTCAATCAAATGCAACTCAAGACAAGTCACATGTAAACAATGTCTGAGTGAAAAACATAATAAATCATTATTTTTTGGCAAAGTGAAACTGTATACTTAATATATTATACTAAGTTCTATAAGTAATTTAACTGATGTATGAAGTCACAGTGCATTTTCCTGGGTAGCATAAAGTGGAACCAATGTAGATTGCTGAGTCAGTGGGGAAAAAAAAAAAAAAGAAATCACTCTTAAGGACTCATTAAGACAGTGAAAATAATTCACAACTTCTATCTCCAATGAAAAAATTTCTTTTTATTTAGATCAAGGTGCCTGCTTGCTGATCATAACAAAAAAATTGAAAGATATTCTCATACTTAAAAAAAAAAAATCAGTTTTCCACATCCCAGCTGCTCAAAATTACATATAAATCACACACTAGTTGTCCATACTTAATAGAAGTAGCACCATTGAAGCCAGGGTAACTGAGCCATCATCCACACAACACTTCTGCTACACCTATGCTTTAACAATACAGCACTGGAGAGTAGATGAAGCTGTTCCGTCAGAGTCGTATCATCTCACCTAGTAATAAAAACCAAATAGACAAAGCTTTCTATCATAGTAATTCTACCTACATCAGGGGGTCTGCTAGCAAATCTCTGCAGCAGTTGTTTTTCACTCCAAACCAACATCATGGTTGTAGTATAGAACTGTCAAAACAGTGATTAGAGAAAATCAGAGTGGTGATCTTTGAAAATTTAATCTGTATTTTAGTTTTCCTATGTGCAAACCTTTGCTCAACAGCAAAAAATAGCATAGTGGTTATTAACAAAAAAAAATTACATGGGATGAAAACTCAGGATGTTATTTATCTATTTAAGAGTTCAAACTGCCTTTTTAAATAGTGTTATTATAATACATAATTTGTCAATACTGATTTTTTTTCCTTTACAAATTTCAACTGAAGCAGCCTTTAAAAATATATTTCCATCAAAAGATCAGGTTTTGCTCAAAACACTACTTATCACCATTTATATAAAGAAATAAGCAAGGCATTCTTTGTTGCTTAGTCCTGCAAACACTTCAGAGTAGCCACTACCAGTAAAAAGTTTCCACACCTGACAGCATGAACCAAACACTGGTGAAAGTCTGGGGATGGGAGAAGGGAAAGGACAGGAAAGGAAATAAACAGCTCTGAGGAATTAACAACCGTAAGCGCCTACGGTCTTATTGTTGCATTAAGCATTCCGGTAAAACTCTTAGTGAACTAAATGTTGTGAATTGGGCTAGATTGCACATAGAAGAAATGAGAGTCATATTTTATAAATCATTAAATACTTGAAGAAAAATGCAATCTGACAAGAAAGTCATTCAAAGTAGAGGGAATGTTTTAAACTAGAAGGATACAATGGAAGTATGTTCAGACAACCTCAAAATAGAAAAAAAAGAGAAACCCTAACTGGCATTTTAATCCAGTACCAAGAAACAAAGATATAATTCCTTACAGCCTTATTTGTGTACACTTCTGATTTCTCTCAAGAGTAATAAATCTCAGGAGACGCAACTGAGGGAAACAAGGTATTTTCACCCAGGGAAGAAAAGTTTGCAATTGCATTTGTCTATATTTTATACATACCCAGCAAACTTGAAGAGAGTAAGAAAGATTCAAGATTCTCCTGACCATGCTGCCCTGGAATAGGGAGAGTAAAACTGCCAACTCCTCAAGTAATCTAAAATATGGAGCTACTAGAACTGCATGTTTCAGCTTCCTTTTTGTAACTGTATTTTCAATTCTGTAACCAAATATCTTGCTTTTTGCTTTGCTAGAACAAGCTTGCTTTCATTTTTTGTTCTTAACCTTATCTGGATGATAAGGGTGATCTCAAGAGAATTTGAAAGGCACAGAGTAGAATCATAGAATCGTTAAGGTTGGAAAAGACCCTTAAGATCATCGAGTCCAACCATTAACCTATCACTGCCAATGCCACCACTAAACCATTTCCCCGAGCACCACGTCTGCCCTTCTTTTAAATACCTCCAGGGATGAAACCTCACCCACTCCCCTGGGCAGCCTGTTCCAATGCCTGACTACCCTCTCGGTGAAGAAGTTTTTCCTAATATCCAACCTAAACTTCCCCTGGCGCAGCTTGAGGCCGTTTGCTCTCGTCCTATCGCTTGTTACTTGGGAGAAGAGACCAACCCCCACCTCACTACAACCTCCTTTCAGGTAGTTGTAGAGAGCAATAAGGTCTCTCCTCAGCCTCCTCTTCCCCAGACTAAACAACCCCAGCTCCCTCAGCCACTCATAAGACCTGTTCTCTAGACCCTTCACCAACTTCATTGCCCTTCTCTGGACACGCGCCAGCACCTCAATGTCCTATTTGTAGTGAGGGGCCCAAAACTGAACACAGTACTCGAGGTGTGGCCTCACCAGTGCCGAGTACAGGGGCACTATC